GCGGACTGTGTTAACACCAGAAATGGCATCAATCTCCATGACTCGGTCGATGGTTGCTCGACCTTGTTCATCATTACGGGCTATTCTGCGGATGATGACAGGTAGAGCTCGATCTGCAGAGCCACCTTCGCTAACGTGGTAAAAGGTTCGGTCTACAAAGTAAGGTAAGGGTTAATCCTGTTCATCACTGCAACAATTCAGGTTATTTACCTACAAGGGAGTGGGACCTGGAAAAGCTGGTCGAGGGTTGTTGTTCGGGGCTTGACCTACTGGAGGTAGGTTGTTGAATTCGGGTTCAGAGTCAGATCCATCCGAGAAGCCTTCAACTTGATGATCATCCAACGGAATTTGGTGCTCATCATCGGACTCTGCTTCGAGCCATCCTACGTTGCCTTCATTTGGAAAGTACGGGTCGCCATGATGGAATCCAACCATTTAGATCTACGCGAGAAGAGAGGTACAAGAATCTAGTGTACAAGTAACTTGTAGTAGAACAAAATACTCCTACAGTATTTTAAATTTAATGTTATGTTCTAGTGTTCTCATTGTGGTATTGTTAGTAAGATTTTAGACTTGTTGCAACCACACAAGTACACTTAGACACATGCTAGTCAACCCTCAGATAATATAGTTGATTAGGCTATATCTTCCCAGTTTGGACTATATGTCTCTAAGTCCACCTATATTGTTCAACAATCGTAATGGGTTGATATACTCAATTCACTATAAACAATGCTTAATTAAATATTTTAGTATTTAAAGTATAGACTCTTGTTCAGAGTGTTTTAATCCCAAATGGGTTTATAGTTAGTATATCTTTTATGGGTTGATATACTCAATTCACTATAAACAATGCTCTGATACCAATCTGTCACACCCCAACACCATGAATGTCGAAAACGTTCTGGAGCGGAGGACGTCATGTACAGTATCACAACACAGTATAACAGTAAACAACATCATCCATTGCATTAAATATATATAATTTTAATACAAGCGTGTTCTGTACAGTTATAGACACCAAAATGTAAATCAAAATATTAAGATGAGTCTTGGATGCGCTCCATCTTCTCAAAAGCTGGCAGCAGTACTTGTCTGCTAATGACCTGAGAATACAAGTTATTTTGAAAGAGTTTATCAGCATTAAGCTGGTGAGTTCATAAGTATTTTAGTGTCGGTGGTTGTATCAAAATGTTTGAACGTAGTTATAACTATGAATTTGTAAACGTTTGTAAGTGTTTGTAAATGATTGAATCTCCTAGAAAAACCTATATTTTCCATTTAAAAGTAGCCTTCTACCAAGGTGTAATTGTTTTATATGTTCGTTTACTGTAAAAGTGTGTAATTTACTCAAGTGTAACTATCATTCTCAAAATATAGTTTGTACATAAATGTTTAAGCGAAAAGTTCACTAAATATGTAAAGTGTAAATTAATGTAGTATTGTAGTGTTGTATTATAGGAACTACTGCTGTACTAATTACCTTAAACCGGATTTATATTAAGGTATCATGTGATTTGTTGTACCATACTATCGACTGGATAAACAACAACAAATGTAGGTCGTAAAATGGTATCATGTTTGGCACCCGCAAAACTGCAGGTCCGGCTGTAGCTAGCAGCAAGGTGTAGGATAGTCAATCCAGTATAGATCTATATGCAAACTCACGCTCTCCCTCAAAGAGACTCTAGCAACAACTCTGGCCATGACAGTTAAGGCATACTCCGATACAGTGGATCACAACTCTATCAATGTATATATGTATATGTAATGTATTTTTACTCGTTCTAGTATCGTTGTATATGTTCTCATAGTATAGTTGTATATGTTCTCCTTCTAGTATAGCTGTATATGTTCTCATAGTATAGTTGTATATGTTCTCATAGTATAGTTGTATATGTTCTCTTTCTAGTATAGTTGTATATGTTCTCATAGTAATAAGTATTGACTCATGAATGAACTGACTCATTGATCTAACAATAGTATGTGTATGATCATGTGTTACCCCGATGGTAACTTAAAAATGATGTAACTAGTAGGTATTAACATGGAAGAACTTTTATGACCATACATGTACACATGATATATAATTAATATTGAAACGACCTTCGGACAGCCACCCGATATCCCACCTGACCACATCCAAATCGAGGAAACGGAATTAGGGCATGCGACCTTTCTAAGCCTTTTAAACATCGATTATAGAACTATACATAGATGGGCATACAATTTATAATAAGCATAACAAAGTTTAAGTAAAAGTGTTTGATAAGTAAAATAGTTAGTAAAACAGTTGGAAGTAAAACAACTTTGAGAAACAATTTGAATAGTAGTAAAATCCTTATTTTTGTAGTTATTAATCACATGTTATTGATGTAATAACTATAAGTATTCAACTTGTATCCCCCCCATAAAAGCATTTAAAATATTTGAAAGTATTTCAAAGGTTAATTAAAGGGGTATGAACTCACTTGTGGTGAGTGGATTGGATTGAAGTGTCGGTTACGGTGCTAGGTGACAAATGAAGACTTGTACACACACACGAGCCTAGTTATCATATAATGAATATATAAATAACTAATTAGCCTCATTATAACTAATAAAATGAGTTGGGACACTTTAGAACATGAAAACACTTTGTTTCAAGTGTTAAAGATCACAAGGATTGCATCCAAGTGCTAGTAGGGCAAAACTAGGGTGTTTGGGGTCCAAGGGTGAACTCCTTGGGAGTTTACGGTCTAAATGACCTTTATACTAGGAGTCTACGGTATAAATGACCTTTACCCTCGGAGTTTGCAGCAGTAAACTCAAGGGTTTACAGGCTAAACTCCATTTCTTGCAACTATGAGTTGTTTGGAGTTTTAACAAGTCCTTTGAAGTAATCTTGCTAAGTGGTTTAGCCTTTGGAATGGACTAGGGCCACAAAACACCCTCCTTGAGGTGTTTACGGCCTAACGGTATTTCCCTTGGGTTTACTACCTTAAACCGTTATGGGAAAAGGATGTTGCCTTAATTTCAAGTCCTTATCACAACTAGGTAAATGTCTAAGTTAGTTTTTAGGGCTAAGAAAGGAAAATGGCTCATTTAAACACCGTATTGGGTGTTTACAGTTTTCGAATGTCCTTAGAGCATAAACACCTATAAATGGTGATGTTTGGTGTTTTTCAAAGCTTAAACATGTTAATGGAAGGTTTAAATATGTTAAGGTAAGTCTTAAACTCAAAACTAAGGCTAAACATGGGACTTAAGTCCATTTTGGGGGACTTTATGGTGTTTATAGCCCAAGTATCATCTTGGATCATGAACACCTCAAACATGGTGTTCTTGGCCGATTTTCTTGGTGATTAATTGATATGCTAGCCTACAATCACTCAAGGATGGAAGCACTTACTAGTAGAAGGCTTGATTTAAGCTAAAAAGCCAAGAACACTTAGTCTGTGTTCTTGGTGTTCTTGTTGTTTTGGAAAATCTAAACAAAAACCGAAAATGAATGGATGAATAGATGCACAAACACTAGATTAAGTGTTTTACTAACTTGAAATGGTTAGAACACTTACAAGATCGAAGATTTGGAATTAAATGTTGGATGATAGTTGAGAGAGTTTTTGGAGTTTACTCTTTTGACTATTTGGGGAGTAAACACAATGACTACTTTCTTGGGGAGTAAACTCATACATAGGCATGAGTTTACAGTTTTTGGGTGATTCCTAAACCCAAAACGTAAAAGTTTGGTCGAGTGTTTCTAATACAGGAAGTGTTTGCGGTTTTCAAAAATCAAAACCCGAGATGACACTTTCTTTCACCCATTCGTTTAATAATAATATTAAAATAATCAAACGAACTTTATATTTCTTAAAAATAAGAAATTTTGATATTAATTTATGATCCGAAGTGGTTGACTTTTAGGGTTTGACCAAATGAAAATTTTTTGGTTGTCACAATATTTAAAGACGTTAACTTTTAGAGTTTTTCTCATATGCATCGTCCATCCTCGAGAGAAACCTAGAAACAAACCCTACCTTCCTCTCATCCCTTTGTGGTGTTTTAGTGCCTTGAGTGTGAAATTTAAAGAAGTAGATGGTGCCTTTTAAGCTATAAAAACAAGATCCATAGTATTAGCAATGGAGATATAGTTGGCATTATCCCTTTTTATTCTTATCATTTATATTTAAACTTAGGGTTTAATCTTTTCACATGTATATCTTATCTGTAAATGTATCTACAAAGATACAGAAGTGGATTGACAAACCCTATGTTGTTGAATCCTATTACGCTACAGAAGCGAATGGTGAGGATAATAATAAAGGGGTTGATGAAAAAGAAGACACTGATAAAGATGAAGAATAATCAGCCGATGTTAAGGGAGAAGACTTTGCCCAGGGGATCAACTCTCATCTAAGGATGAACAAGCGTATTCGTTTTTCAACAACCTCTTCATCCACTCCATCTGCTGATGACATTGTAAAACGTAGATCCAATCCATCTCAACTGGAAACTGCTGAGCCTTTGATCCATGATGTAACTTCTCCAAGACCAACATCTCGTTCTCCTCAAACTGAGATTGTTCATTATATGTCAACTCCTTTCAAGACTACTGCTTTTCATCAGGATAATCAGGAAGAATCCAGCTCCAACTTTCAAATTGTTGTACTTTCTCAGCTCTCTCTGATAGTGCAAATAACTCAATCACTCGGACAAAGGTTGACTAAAGTTGAAAGGGATGTGGCTGCAATGAAATGATTTATGGCATTAAGTAATGATGATGTTGATGATATGGTCGTTGATGACACCTCACCAAACTCTCCAGGTGATAAATCTCCCCCACCTCCACCTCTATCATCAAATCTTCCTCCACCATCTCATCCTCCTCCTCGCACTCCTTTACCACCTCCTGGATCTCCTCCCCAATCTAATGCTGCCAAAAAGAGGAGAATAATCAAGGCAATTCTGATCAGCAAATGAAAATGGTGATGATTGCACAAAATCCATCTTAGCCTAAGATGTATGAAACTCGAAAAGCTAAAACTAACCTTCAAAAGGAAATTGTTCCAGCTGTTGATGAAATGAATGATGATCAACCCATTCTATATATTGGTGATCAATCAGAGATTGATGACTATGAAGGGTGTATTGAAATTGGTTTCATGCCACAAGTTGTTCTTGTTGTTCTGTTGAATGTAGTTTATCCTGATTCTTACTTTGAGTGGTAGGATCCTCAAGGAACTAATAGTGACATTGATTCCGATAATGATTAGCTCAAGCCTCAAAATAGGAAGGCATCCTCCTCAGGGGGGGGGGGTTATGAAACTGAAGTTGGAAATTCTGCTGCTGGTGATAGTTCAGCACCCTATCCTTCTAAGAACAGTAAGAAGAGCAAGCTCATTTTTTATCTGAATGAGTTAGCAAAAACATAGAGGTTAATTGTGGATGAAGAATGTGAGATCATGATAGAGGATAATGCTACTATTCGATAGAAAAAGGAAGCTAGAAAAGGAGAACGTCTATCTACCAAACTTGCTCAAGCTTCATTTGGTCAGGAAGAGGACTTAATATGAATGCATTAAAGTTGTATTTGCTCGTGAACTAGTCAGATTTGGGTACAACAAGTGGATGAAAATTCAAGAAATTATTTACAAACATAATGGTATTCTTGCTCAGGAAGCGAAGTAAGCAATTCAACAACTACTCAACAAAGTCAATAAGCTGAACCTTGTGCCATCAGTTGATCCATCTAGACCATCCTTCATAGGAAGAGCAGGTGCTCCTTGACAATCCAAGAATACCAAGTTTCTTCTTCCTTATGGAACTAGGTACATCAACAATTAAATGTCACCGGGTGTTGAACCAGTCCAATACATGTTTATTCAAGAACCGTAGCATGGCATATTTTATCTTGACAGTTAAAATCACACGTGCTTTCAACGCACTGATGATCTTTCTACTACTCCTACTAAACGCTTTTTTCATCTTCAATGGAAGGACTTAGTCACTATGAACTGGAAAGAGGATATTGTGTGCCGATATATTTGGAGCTTAGTAGAAGACTGGATAAACTTCAAATCAATGAATTTAGAAGGGTTAAGCTTGAGATCTTGAAAGAAACTGAAAAGTTCTACAATGGTTCTTCTAATGAATCTGAAGAAGAAGATTAGTTTTAATATCATCAGATAGTGGGAGATTGTAACTTCACATGTTATGATCTGGTGAGGCAAACACTCTACAAGCTACATGTCAGTGTTAGCGTCTACATCATCGCCAGCACTAACATATCATGCCTATCAGCATCAATGCTTAGTTTAGTTAACCTGTGTAATCTTTTCATATATTAGGTAATGCTATTTTATAAGTATAGAATAGATAGCAGATCTGATATCCTTATGATGATGATCAGTTCTTAGTATAGATTAGACGTAATCCCTTCAATCAAGGGATATACTTGTATAGATTACTGTATAATGCACACTAGGGTAAACCTAATGTAGAGATTTTGTCTTTGTGACAACCCGCCTTATTGGTGAAAGAAAATTTAGAGAACTCCATGTAATATTTATTTTTTGTTCTTTGTTTACTTAGATTATGTTTTTGTACTTTATACTTGAATTGTATCCAATTGATACAAACCTTCAAGTGTTATTTTGAGAAATATGTGATATCAATATTATGTTAATAATGATCTAAATTAATATTAAACTAAATTTATGAAAATTTTGTTTAAGATGGTGGATACCCGAAATAAAGGTGGATCACATGGAAGGGGCGGCTCTCGTGGTGCACAAGAAAGGTCACATATTTCAGTATGCCAAAGAGGGCATGAAGGATCACCTGAACGACCATTGGGTATTAGAACGATGATTGCAGAAGAGGTGAAAAAGTACCTTTAAAGTATGTTGAATGCTCTCCTCGATGCCCAGGAAGATGCAAGTCGGAAGTAAAAACAAGTTAAAATTTTGGAAGTTGTTAAGAAAGAACGACAAGGTGAGACTGGAGTTTAGGCTCAAGGAGGTTAAACTTCTAAAAAGGTGGGATTTGCTTTTTCGATTGCCAGCTCATGAGCTTTCCATCCAATAATTGACATCCTCTAATTGTGCTATCTGAATGAAGTTGACATTTACCACGGTCCGCATCAGAGAATGCATGGATAAAGAATCATGTCTTAGAAGGATACCATAATCCCAACAAAAATGTTCCCTTGATGTATGGAAAGATATTCTTAACTGCATTGGGATGGGGTTCTCTTGGGTTCGATTGATACTTGGCACAATTACATACAATAAAACATAATATCATGCTGATTTGTAGTTAAATACAAAAATGAACCGATCATGCTTTTGTATGTCGTTAAATCCACATCAGGCTTATCCAATGAAGGATTCAAGCGCGTGCCAACTGCCATTGATACCTTAATTTCCATGTTATTCATCATGCCAAACCGTTCAAGAAGATTTCAAGTATATTTCTCTTTGAGAAATATGCAAACCCAAAATGTTTTTGATTTTCCCCATCATACTCATTTCAAATTTACCTTTCATGAGTTCCTGAATTTACTTAAGTAATGAAGGATCAGCCAAAATGTCATTGACATAAATTTGAACGAGCATCAGGTGATTCCCTACTTTCTTTTGAAATAAAGTAGAATAAAAATATCCTTGTTTAAATTTAGTGATTTTCAAAAATTTTGTCAAAGTTTCATACCAGGCACGAGGTGCTTCTTTCAACTTATAGATTGCATTGTCTAAAATATAACAGGGACCAATATACTTACCGTTAACAAAACCAGGTGGCTGTTTGACATAGATCGTTTCTTCTAAAACACCATTATTGAATGCACATTTGACATCCATTTGGTAGACATCTAAATCCTTATGATCTGCATAAGTAAGAAACATTCATACCGCTTTGAGTCTTGTGACAATGGCAAAGGTTTCCTCATAATTGATACCTTTTTGTTAAGAATAACCTTTTACAACTAGTCTCACTTTGTTTTGAATAATATTTCCTTCTTTATTACTATTATTTTTAAAAATCCATTTTAGACCAATTAATGAAAGATCCTTAGGTTTAGGAATCAACATCCAAACTTTGTTTCATTTGAATTCGGAAAGTTCAGATTGCATTGCAACAACCCAATCAGAGTGTTCAAATCCAACCTTTACTAATTTTGGTTCTTATTTCGAAATGAACACATTAAACATATAGTATTCATGATGAACATTCAACACTTCATTTCTCGCTCAAATATGGGCTCGAGTCAAGACACCAAAATTTGGATCACCAATAACCTGTTCCTTTAGATGATCTCTTGTCTACTTGTACATCGGTGGATATGCAGGATCAAATTCTAAAGGTGTATCTTTGAAAATGTCATCCATTTATAAAACTTGTCCTGCAATCGAGCTATTATCAGTTAAGTCATGAAAATCATTATTTTGATCTTTACTATTATCATGATTCGATTGAATTGGATCCTCATCAACCAATGGATTTGAGATATAATGCTCCCCCTCAACATCAGCATGGTTAGGTATATGCCCCCCTTAACAATCGAATCATGGTTTTCATTTTGTAATGTCAAACTCAAGTCCCCCGGGCCTTTGATCACTAGTTAAAACCAAAATTATTTTGACATTTACCCTTGAAGTTGATGAAGAGTGTGTGTCATTTTCATCACATGTGACAAACGAATCATCAGAGTGTTTCAATGCTTCTGGAACATGACTATCATCAGCATGGTTTTCTACATCAATAGCCCTATCAGCAATTCAAAAAATCAAATAAGGATCAATATCCTAAGAATTCATGATTTCTGATTCAAAATTTGTTTAAGCCATAATAGGTTTTTTTAAAAAAAGACTGTTCGAGTCTTTTGATGTAATATTCATCAAATGTGAGATTGAAAGATTCATCGATCTTCCTCGTTCGTTAGTTCAACACCCTATACGCTACATAGTTGTAAGAATATCCTAAGATGATTCCTTCATCAACTTTCGACTGAAACTTAGAAAGATTGTCTTTGAGATTCATGATGAAACATCTGCACCCAAAAACATGGAATAATTAAACATTAGGTTTGAATGTAACAAGGTTTGGAGGCTTATTCTGATTTGGTGCAAACAATGCAGGATGAGCTCAATGAGTTTGAACGTAACATGATTTGTAGGCTTATTCCAACTCCGAAGGATGTCTCGATTGTACGGCTGAAATGGGTGTTTCGTAATAAGCTTAACAAAGAAGGAAATGTGATTCGAAACAAAGATAGATTAGTCGTTAAAGGGTATTTCCAAGAAGAAGGTATTCACCACGAAGAAACATTTACACCAGTAGCACGGTTAGAGCATGTTCGCATCTTTCTAGCATACGCAGCTTGTAAGAACTTTGAAGCCTATAAAATAGACGTTAAGTGTGCCTTGTGGAACGGGGAACTAGAAGAAGCAATATATATGGAAAAACCACCTGAGTTCGTAAATGAGAAATATCCAAATCACTGCTACATTCTAGATAAGGCTTTTTATGGTTTGAAGCAAGCTCCGCGAGCGTGGTATGAAACTCTAACTCGATTTTTAAAACAAACTAAGTTTAAACAAGGCTCGGTCGACCCAACCGTCTTTCACAAGAAAGATGGTGACCATCTGATGATCATCCAAATTTACTTTGATGATATCATTTTTGGATCTACTAATCCTAGATTAATTGTTGAATTCCGAAAATTGATGATGGGTCCTATTAAAATTTTCCTTAGATTAAACAATAGAAAGAGTCAAGAGGGAATTTTCAGCAACCACGAAGCATATATGAAGACTTTACTTGCAAAGTTCGGAATGGTGGGTGATTCAAAGGTGAAGGTTCCAATGACATTCAAAACAAAACTTACACCATCATTGGACAAACCGGCTACTGATATGACTCTCTATTGAAAAATGATAGGATCATTGATGTATCTAACAACAAGTCATCTAGACATTATGTTTTTGATCTGCCATTGTGCTAGGTTTCAGGAAAATCCTCAAGAACCTCACATGACTACAGTTAAGAATATCATCAGATACCTAAAACGAACCACCTCGTTTTGAATATGGTACACTTCGAACTCATGGTTCTTTGTGCAAGCATTCTCTGATGCTGATCTTGGCGGATGTGGTATGGATCGGAAAAGTACATTTGGGGGATGTCAATTTCCTGATGGCAAAGTTGTTAGTCGGCAGGCAAAGAAACAAACATGCCTATCATTTTGAAGTTGAATACATCGCAGTTGCTTCTTGTACCTCGCAAGTGATTTGGATCCAAATTCAACTAAGGAACTATGGGATTAATATGAAGAGAATCCCTTTATACTATGATTCCAAAAGTGCAATTCACATTTTCCATAACCGAGTGCAACATTCCAAGACAAACATATTGCACTGAGGTATCATTTCATAAATGATCATGTGGAAGATGGCAATGTTGAAATTCACTTTGTGAAATCTGCTGATTAATTGGCCGATATCTTTATGAAAGCGTTTCCTGAACAAACTTTCAATCTGCAAAATCGATTCTGAAACCATCTTCGTAGTTGGTAAGAATTCAACGAGAATGGGTCCGAATGCTCAAAATAGTTCGGAGTATACAGTTCACGCTGCGAATTGGTCTGAATGCTCGGAGAAACTCAGAGTTCACTATTCATTTAGAGATTCGGAACAGTTTGTATCCTTTGTATTTTTGTTTTTAGTGTATACTTTCTATTTGTTTTTCAGAAAATTAAAAATCCAAAAATATTTTTTTTAATTTTTTTTTCAAAAAATCCAAAATCCAAAAATATTTCTTTTTCTGTTTTTCTTTCTTACTTATTTAGAAAAATAAATATTCAAAAATATTCTCTTTATTTTCATTTTTATTTCTTTTCATAATGAAATTAAAAGCCTAAAAATATTAGACAACTAAGAATGCTTGAAGGTACATCTTATGGTCTCAATTCTAAAAGAAGGGACATGTATAAAATTCCAAAACATTGCACTATTTAAGTGTCCCTAGAAGCATGTTGTCGCATGTTGTCTGAAGCCTCTAAGACTCTATGTGTTAAGCCTTAATGAATCGATAATACCAATCGTTTCTTCCCAACCAGGCTAAAGATTCACATAAGTCATTTAGCTACCTTACTCTTATCATTCTGGGTTAA